GAAGTTGGGTAACCGGTAAAATGTTTTTTAAACGTTAATATTTTATTGTTATGCGGTAAACAAAGTGCTTATATTAGGTGACTTGAGAAAATGAAGACAAACAATATTGGAGGAAGTAAACGAGATGTCACTCTACATTGAGCAAGGGTAGTGGATGAGAAAGGATTGATTAGCTATATCTCTATTTAAAATATGTTACCATATAATTATTTTCGTAACTGTAATTTTAAAATTTAACAGTTAGAACTTGTAGTGTACGAAATATAGGCGTGATAAATAAGGACATAAATTAAGAAAATCCAACTAAAACACAAATAAGTATGAAGGTCAACAAAGGGAAGAAAATTTTTTAAGAAAATATTTTACATCAAGCGTAGTAGTCGTACAGAAGTTGGAGATGACTATTAGGATTGATGTTGCTGCTGATTAGGAGGTGGGTTCTTGGTAATGAACCTGTAGAACTTCAAACATAGCTGCTTAGACGCATCAGGGAGGACCTGCGGGGTTAGGAATTTGCAAGCTTCCAATCCTTTTTGGCAGTGTGCATCAACGTAAAGACAAGTGAGAGCCCCATCATCGGTTAGCGAGGCTGCCTGCGGTTTATGAAAAGTAGAGCCGGAATAAAGTAATTAATTTCGTTGGCCTTAAATAATTCTGTTAATTGTAAATATTATGTTTTACCGGAAAGAGTTTTAAAGTCAATGATGGTGAGTCCAGAGGAATTACCTGTGGAAGTACCTTAGGCCTAGTGATGGTGAATGCCTTGATGGTATCTGCGCTAGAGTCAGGATTCCAGGCTTTGATGATATAGGGAAGCATGTTGGCGACTGGATTGAGGTCATTTTTGATCATAGTGTCCGTCTTCAAGGTGACGTTGCAATCGAGAACTTGTATATCCCACGCTTTTATGTCCACAACCACCGCTATCCAGTGTCTCGGCTCAATATAGAGAGGGAAATAGATTAAGTCTGTCGGGTTACCTCGAACACGCAGAATCACGTCATCTGTGAACTTAAATTTCGGACGTAACTGGACACCCATCTTGACGAACTTTGGGTAGATGTTCTTCATAGCAGTAGGGAGGCTCATGTCGAAGACTTTGATAGAATTGCCGGGAACTTCGTGCTCAACAGCCAGGAAGCGCATTATAGTGTTGACAGTCTGCAGAAATATAATGTTATTATAGAACAATATACTTTCATATGTAGATGGGACAAAAAGTTTGAGTCTTACGAGAGGAGACATTCTACTTTTCCTAAAAGCAATGTCCACAAACTCGGCCCCAGTCAGAGCGGATGGACCATCCAAGTGAATAAACCTACAAAATAATTAAACACGGTTACATGTTTTATTATCGAATAAATAAAATGTTGACAGTTAAAACGAATATTTCCAGTAAATTGTCGAAGTACACTCACCCCGTGGGTAAAATCCGCTGCCTTATCTGGTCGAACAATTTTTGAAGGTCGGGAAGGACGCGGAATCCAGGCTTACTTGTGGGGTCTAGCTCATAGTCTTGTAAAGAAGATGGGGGTATTGTTTGTCTTTGGGCTCTTAATGGGTCCAGTGTGTCGGATGATTGCCCAGCGGGAGGAAGCACAACGGTAAGTGGAGCAAGCTGAAGAACACGCTCTGATGCCTCTAATTGGGTGAGGCCAATAGAAAATGAGGGAGGCTCAATATCCAGCTGAGATGATTCCCCCTATGAAAATGTCAGATCATAGACAATCAGAAGTGAAAACAGGATAACAAGAGTAGTAGATGAGTCATTACATGTACTGCTTCTGAGGTACTTGTTCCAGTAGCCGTTTCGACAGTCGCCAGCGTCATTGACCATTGCGCCAATTCCTGCAAACATCAGCAGTATAGTGGTTATATATACCACCTAACAAAATTGTTGTAAGTTAACTGAATTTGTAACCGATAAACTATTAAGAAAATGTAAAATTAATATTTTCCCGAAAACCTTATCAGAGATGGCTTCGGTGTTCATGGGATCGATGGATGGGCGGTCTCTGAGTTCCTGATTATTGACATTCCCAGTCGGATCACCCTGTATTAGCGGAGGAGTTAGAAGCTTAGGTTAATTAAAAAACTTTTGTCAAACTAGAGGATAAGGATTACCATGGATGGTACCGTTGGGACAGCAGAGATTGTGGTCCCAGATGTTGATTCAGCTTCAGGGTGCAAGGGTGATATATTACCAGCATCCTACGTCAGATAGGATTTTAAAATAATGACTAGATACCATTTTGTAAAGACAGCAAACCGTTTAAATTGTGGTAATAATATTTTTTAACAGTTATCACAGGGTTTAGCAGATAACCTCCGTGGTTAGAATCTCTGTTCTCTCGTGCTTTGGAGGAGCTTTTGTGTTGGCATCTTGCTGAGAGACATTTTCGTCTACATTTACCTGCTATGATAGGGTGATTGGTATGTGTTAAGGGGTAGAAAGTAAGTAATTAGTTGAAGATAAAATATCACGAACCTCTTGATTGTGTGATGATGCTTGAAGGTCATCTAAAATGCGCCTGATGGACTGGTTTACTCGAGGTTCAGGATCGTCAACAGCCATCTCTTCAGCGTCTTCTTGATCAGTCGCTTCCCCATGTCCACTCACCCTAGGGCTTGTTGGGTTTGGCGGATGGCGTGGTGGGACGTCTGAAATGCTAGGCGTAGAAGATGTTGTCTTTTTCAGCTAATCGATAATGGCCTTTATAACCCCCCCCCCCTTTTCATAGAATGGATGTTGTCAACAACACATTTTGTGAGTCTTGTCTCCATAGCCTTCATATTTGACTTTAATTGTTGGTCCACGGCCTTAGCTATTCGAGACTCCATAGAGGCAAGTTCTTCGTGAAGCTTCCATGAGACGATGTTGGCAATAGGATCAACAGCACCTTGGCCCGGCGGCGGTACCTCTGATTGCTCACCCATATCAGCGGGAACTTGTTTGTGTTTAGGCTGCTTACCCTTCTGTTTCTGTCCCCTTAACTTTTGAAGCTCGCTTGATGTTATACCTCCCTTGAACATCTTGTTATCAAATAGGAACCCTTCGTTGATGAGCTTCACCATATTATCTACGGTGGGATCTTCTTCTTCGTCGGGCCATGAGAAGTCATATTGTAGATACCACTCCTCGTCAGGGTCGCTCAGTATTGATCTAACAGCCACCTAAAGGAACATAATAGATTAACCGAAAATGTTTAATGGTAATAAAACATTTATCCGAAAAGTGCTCCTGTAACCGTTAATAGCAACATCAACAGTTAACGTACTTGTTTCCCGGTAAAGTATTACTTTACGACTAATTATAACATTATCTTTACAAAACGAAGGTTAACTACTAACATTGTACACAGGGATGAGAAACTATTCCATAATCGAACAAGTTTAATACGCATTCATTTTCAAAGTCTTAGCAGTAAATAATCGTTAAAACAGTAACAATTATTTTTAACGGTAAAAATATTCTTGGTGTCACTAACCTTGCACTCTGAATTGAGTTCTCTCGCATTGCGCGGGTTGACAATAAATTTATTGGAAGATGGCAAATCCTCCGCGTCCCCTTCCTCAACTACATGCGGTGCTTCCTCTTCCGCATCCATTTCACCCTCGCTTTCGGAAAGAGCAACAACAACGGGAGCAGAGTGAACCACCTCTTCTTTCAAATCAGGAACAGCGGCGATAAGCACCAGTTGAATGGCTTCAACATATCCCCTTAGGGCAAATGAATCTTGCGCTAGTGAGACTGCATCCTTCTTGAGTAAGTGATTCGCAAGATTTTGAAAGGAAGTTCTTCCCCAAGGGAGAGCGAGGAACTCATTAAGTTCTCTTATGATCTCAACGTGCTCTGGGAGAATCTTCGGAGAGTGTGAGGTTGGGACTAAAATAGAAGCGGTTATTGCTAAAGACGCGATTTTGAAACGAGTATCCTTATCCTTAACCTTCCTTGTCTTCAGCATATCAATCACCGTATCCACACTACAAGACTTGAGCGAGCCAAACAAGTCATTCCAATAGAGCTTCTCGTGTAGAGGATTCTTCCTTTTCTTACGCTTTGATTGTGGAACCCTATCACAGTTGAGGCCGGTGACGATCGCAAACTCTCTAAGAGATATCCTTATTGGGTATCCAGCAAAAACAAGCCAAATCTCGTACAGCTTGCGGGTCTTCAGCATACGAACACAAACAAAGTGACAGAACGCGCCGGAGAAAGGAGGATTATCATCGAGAGAGAGGACCTTCGAGAATTGAGTTCTCTGGAAAAAGGCTAACTCGTCTTCGTCTAATGCTTCAATTAGTTGCTCTGTTCTTCGATACTTGTGGTAAGAGACGACTCTGTCGCCGACTGGTTCATCACCACAAGCAAAAAATCGTCTAGGAAGGTTGAGATCGGCCATCGGAGAATTTTTAAGAACAAAGTCGAAGTTTTTCCGTTTAAAAAACAAGATTGAAAGTAGTGGGAAGATGGGAGTTGAATTGGAGAGGGAGGTTACTATTCGGAGTGGTGGGATAAATTTTCTTAGTTATAGAAATTAATGACGAAATTCAAATTTCGAAAATAAAAAAGCATGCATTCGATTTTACTGGAAAACCGAACGGTTGACGGGAAATAAATCACGCGTGGGTGGCGCTCTGACACAGCTACCCGTAGGCGCGTTAGTCTACGAAAATAGGTGATCAATACACGGAAGAGCAAATTCGTCCGACGAATAGCAACTGTCAAATCAAAGTTAATTTGCTAATTATATGTGGGATTTAGGGTACTTTAGCCAATTAACTCTTATCTTTATACTTTTTTGTGCTTCTCAAATTATTGTAGGCTTAAATTAGGCTTGTACTGAAGGTAGGTTTGGTTTGGTGTATACGGGTTGGTATATTACAAACTAAGAAACCCCCTAAAACTGGTTCGGTTCGGTTCAATCTAATCCCCCTTCCAACTTTCTCTCGTCTAAAATTCAACTACATACCCGCTCCCAACTACTACTGCACAACAAGCACAGCCTCGTCCGTGTCGCTTTTCGAAATTAAATATTTTCTTTAGAGAAAAAAAAGAAAGACGAAGATTCAGACTTTTTGTTCCTTCCTTCGCCTCTCTCTCATCTCCTCCCCCACTGTCTCGATCTTTACGAGGTTCACTAATTCGATGGCAACCACCGTCGCCGCAACAAAGCTCACCTCCTTGAAAGCCGTCACGAATCTCGGCGGTTACCGTGAGATCTGTCAGGTTCGTCAATGGTCTCCGATTCAGTCCGCGATGCCTCATTTCGGAATGCTCCGATGTGGATCGCAACGGTCATTTGCAACCTCTTCTGGTATTTAAATCCCTATTCCTATTTCTTCGCTGTTTCCTTTGACATCGGTTCTCATTATTATTCTGACGATAATCGCACGCAGTTGTGAAAGCTCAAGCGACAGCTGTTGAGCAATCGACGTTAGGAGAAGCTGCTGTTCCCAAAGTTGAATCTCCTGTGGTCGTTGTCACTGGTGCCTCCAGAGGGATTGGTAAAGCTATTGCTCTTTCCTTGGGCAAAGCTGGCTGCAAGGTTTGCACTTTTACACACCATTCTGCTGCTTATTAGAATTTGCCTTCTTTGTTATAGATTTTCTTCTGAAAAACATTCACTTTGCACTATACTAGTATTGAAATGTTTTGAATTATCTGTCTAGTTTGGCTTGAGTTGATAGTGTTTTAGTTTGTTAAAAAAAAAAAGAACAGTTGAGGTTACGCTCTAATGATGAGACATTGTTGTTTGTTCCTGCTTGCAGGTCTTGGTGAACTATGCTAGGTCTGCAAAGGAGGCTGAAGAAGTTTCTAAACAGGTGACTTCAATTTTTTTATCTCCATACCCTTCTGTGCTGCTTTGGTTTCTCAGCTCTTTGCCTTGTTTCTAATTTCCAAATAATCACTTTAGACTACTAAATCATAGGGACTTAAAGTGTAGAGAGATTAATTTATTGGTACTTAAAAAAGAAATGTGGGATCTTTTTTTAGCTTAACAATGATGAATTTCTTAGACCAGTTTTTGGTTTCTGGGACAAAACTGAATTACAACTGCATTTCTAACCCTGGAAACAATTTCAATATTTTGGTTCTTTTTTCTGTATACTTCTTAAATGTCTTTATGATTCGCTCTCAATCAACACTGCTGGATGAAAGTTTGTACCCATTTTTGTCTAGCTAATAGCAAATGCAGTCTATAGTATTTTAATATTTTTCTTCTACCATGTCGCCTTATTTCATGTATCCTGTGACATTTATTCTCTATGGACCTGTAGATTGAAGCATATGGTGGCCAAGCTATTACTTTTGGGGGTGATGTCTCCAAAGAGGCTGATGTGGACGCCATGATGAAAACTGTATGTGATCAAATTGTACACTATCTTTCTCATTCTCCTACATTTTATCGATCTCCTTTTGTATTATATTTCTGAAGGCTATTGATGCATGGGGAACCATTGATGTTGTCGTTAACAATGCAGGTATATGAAAGTAAACCTTGGTTCTTCTTGATTTCTACTTACTACATTATTATCACTGACATATTGACATAATTTTCAGGAATCACTCGGGATACCTTGTTGATTCGCATGAAGAAGTCCCAGTGGGATGAAGTGATTGATCTAAATCTCACTGGAGTGTTTCTCTGCACCCAGGTTTGTGTTCCTGCGCTTCCTGCTGAAATTTTGACACTCAGAATCGTTGGGACTGTAACTCATATTTACTCTCTGTAGGCAGCAACAAAGATCATGATGAAGAAGAGAAAGGTATTACTTGGCTTCACCTTCTACATTTTTTTGCAATTGTCATCTACCAAATCTAGTTTCATCTGAGCTCCTCTCTGAGAATTATTAAGTGAAGTAAAAGGGCGTGAATTTACTGTATAGATTTGCATATGATCTTGCAGGGAAGAATCATCAACATAGCGTCAGTTGTTGGTCTCATTGGTAATATTGGCCAAGCAAACTACGCTGCTGCTAAAGCTGGAGTTATTGGTTTCTCCAAGACTGTTGCCAGAGAGGGTGCGAGCAGGAATATAAATGTATGTGACCTATCTTCCTCATCATGCTCCTCTTGTTTTTGCATTCCTTGGACAACAATTGTAACTTAGTCAGTCGAAAATGTGATCTATTACAGGTCAATGTTGTTTGCCCTGGATTCATTGCATCTGACATGACTGCCAAGCTTGGAGAAGACATGGAAAAGAAAATCTTGGGAACAATCCCATTAGGTAATTTACATCTGTTGCAAGCAAGTTATGTGGATTAGAATGTGTATGAGACATCTAAATAGTCTGATAACCGGTTTGATTATCAGGACGATATGGACAACCGGAAGATGTAGCTGGGTTGGTAGAATTCTTGGCTCTCAGTCCTGCAGCAAGTTACATCACCGGACAGGTTAACTCAAACTCCTACTATCAAATGTATGTATATTTGGTTATTACGGTTGGTTTTCTGCCTAACCATGGTTATAATCATTGGTTTTGCAGGCGTTCACCATTGATGGAGGTATTGCCATCTAGGCATTTGTAAGATTTGCTTTCTGTTCAGACAAAAACAAACAAAGTTGAGTTTATTCTGGCACTTGGTCGAATTTCTGTTCTGCGGATTCTGTTTGGAGAGACATCTAAAATTCATTGCTTAAACTAAGTTGCGTTATATATAAACTAATGAAGGAAGCATGTTTTGCGCTTGGAAGTTAGCACCACAAAACTACACCCACACGAAACAGAAACGCACTGTTTAAAGCCAACCTTTAAAGGGACAAGAAGCTGCGTATGAGTTCTCGTAATATAACACTTGTTTATCATTTTGAAATATAATCTTTTTCTTTTAGTACTTAGATAAACATTGCAACTAGACTTTATGATCTAGGGATCAAGTTACCATACGTCAACACATAGAGATACGAAATAATAAAAGAAGCGGAATATGGAGTTGGTAATATAAAAGCAGAAAATTACATAAATTACGAGTCTTAAACTATACTAAAATCTCAAGAGTAACAAAACGGACAGTCATAGAAAAGGAGACTGGACGTGGCTTATTTTCTTATATCTACTTTTTCGTGTGGTACAAGAAGTAAATCTAAGAGAAGAACTTGTAGGTCTTGGCGCTGACAATGATAGTTCTGAGGCCACCAATGGGAGCTAGGACCGTCAACATAACTCCTACGATAATGCAGAACTGCAACACCAAATAAAATATTATTTGTATAACAAGAAAAACAAACAAGAGCTATAGATCAATCATTGGTAAAAAAAGAACATACCCAATTAATTATCCAGGATAGACTAAACTTCTTTGGTTTCTTGAGAGTGAGCCAAATAATGCATGGAAGCTGCAATAGCAACATTAATATGTGTTATAATCATAAATCACAACTTTAGTTTCTGAGAGAATGAATGAAACAAATGAATGGTTTAGTAGTATTATACGAAGTAGGTTGTTGGGGCAAAGGCAAATCCTCCAAAGAAGCCAAGTAGTCCACCAAAAAATGGAATGCATATCGCAATGAACATAGTGACAGCTGCACAGTCCAACGCGAGGAAAAGATCAGATAAATGGATAGAGTAGCTATAACGAGTGAGGAGTGCATGTGACTTACCAACATAGAGACTGCGAGTGATGAAACGGAGTTTGAAGGAAGGATCGAAGTTCATCTTCTTGACCAAAACGGTTTCAAGCATGTCAAACACCGGCATTGCAAAGATCTGCCTCCGCAAAAAAGTTCAAAGAGAAAGATATCAATATTCATGTTATGTTCTTGATTCAATAAGTGACAAAACAAGTAGAATTAATGTGAGGAGACCTGATAGCTTCCAATGACATGGACCACCACAAATAAGTTAGCAATTGCGATAAGCCATACAGGTTTCTCCAAAGTCATGAGAATGTTGTCGTCAACGCTGTTTCCAAACATCCAATATCCTAGGAACGCTACAGGGAAGTAGCAAATAGCGACTATAATGTAGGCTACAACGACTCCTCTCCACATTGGAACCTTGGATGGCACTTCAGGAGTCGAAGGGATCGTGGCTTGAATCTCCAATACGACGTTGTGACCTGCGTAGGCAAAAGCCACATCTCCCAAAGCGTTCAAGAAGTTGAATACATTTCCAGGAGTTGTCGAGGCTCTTGACGAGTAGTCTACATCTGGACGTACCCCTTTGTGCACTGTTGCACCCCATGCAATAGTTGAGTAACTGTTGATGCATCACACAAAACCATATCATCAACCCAATAAATATGATCACTGTAAACGTTTTAATTAAATTTCGGTGAAACGTTTTAAGTTATTGAAAGCTACTCTCTGTTTTGTGCACAGAGATTAATAAAAAAATTATTTTTTTATATATTTTCTATATTAAAATATAATTAACTATACACCTAACTATATTTTAGCCAATAAAAAATAAATTATACTTCCTCTTTTTCAAAATATATGTCATTCTAGACTTATTTTTTTGTCACAAATTAAGTGTTGTTTTAAAGTTTCGAGGTAAAATTTGTTAGTTTTATATAATATTCTATTTTTCTATTGGTTGAAAAGTGGTTAGGGGTATAGGTAATTGTGTTTTTATCTTGGAAATATGTAAAATTAAATATTTCTTTAATCTGTGTGTAAAAACCTCGAATGACAAATAAAGTGAAACGGAGAGAGTAATATAGAATTAATAAATTGTGTATTAAAAATCGAAACACACACTTACAAAAGATTTTCTTTACAACTACAATTTATATGAAACAAAGCTAGTAATCTAAATGGGTATAAAACTGGTTAGGTTCCCGTTCAACTTATATAGTACTCTCTCCCTAATTTTATGTAGTATTCAGATATTAAAAATAAAATAAATACTTAGTATTAAATTTACTATTTAATTTTATGATACCACTTTCCGATAACCATCAACTAGTGATATATTTAACTAATCAATTAATTTCGGTCGAAAATAAATCAATTAATATTCAAAAAGCTGTTCAACTTATCAATATTAATAATTAAAAATACATTTAGATCTAGAAAATATATTTTGGAGAATAAAAACCTAAAAAATCTATTGTTGTATGAAAATCTAGTGATTATATTTTGTAGAATAAAAAATGTAGAGAATATATTTTTTTAAAAAATATTTTTTTTTTGGGGAAATGAGTAAAAACTTAATGTAAATGTGTGTTTTATGATACTTACGATAGGGACATAACGGCAGCGGCGACTGAGATAACGGACATAGAGTTGAAATTAGGTAGGTGAGAGATAACGAAGTGGACAGAAGCAAAGATCATGATCCAATATGTAGTTTTGATGTCTTTGCAGTCGGAGCAGAGGAGTTCATGTACTTTCTGGAGAGATTGTCCTCCGGTGACCATATAAACAATGTCTACACCGACCTCCACGATGAGTTGTTGAGGCACGATGATCCAAAGGCCAAGCTTTTCTCCAAAAGCTGCTTGACCTAGCTCGTGATACCTATCAAGCCTCTTCCCGGGTATGATCTCGTGCATCTCCACCATTTGCCACAGTGTGTACAAAGTTATTATCCATGACATTATCATCAATGTCACGCCAGGTCCCCTTGTCAATAATCAACATGTACAAAAGATTTTATTAAAATGTCTAAAAAAATTAAATAACACATTATATATAATGAATACAAGTCAAATAAATGAATGGTTATGGATCTAAAATTACCATCCGAGATTGGACATGGCGTAGGGCAAGCTGAGAACACCAGCACCAACCATGGCGGTAACATTGTGAAACGCAGAGTACCACCACTTGGCGTTTCGTGAGGAAGTGATCGGTAACCAATCGTCGACGTTCTTTTGCTTCGCTGCAGAGATCTCACCCGCTGACCTTTCGTTATTCCTCATATCGTTTTGTGTGTGTGTGAGAGAGAGAGGGGGAGAGGAGAGAAAGACAATTAAGAAGATTTTAAGATCAATATGAAGAAGAGATCGTTATATAAGAGTGGATCAAGTCTCGAGATTCTCTCACTTGGACTTATCGAACTTATATATTGAACGATTTATCTTTTGTAATAAATATATTTGAGATTCAAGTTGGTTAGGTTACGAATATTTTGGTCTTTCCCCGATGTATAAGGCAACAACAGCTGAGAAACCTCATGCTTAACTCGCCCGTTGTACGTATGACAATAACTAAAATACCCCATTAGTTTTGCTTCATTCCCTTAAGTTAAGTATGGGTTTTCTATAAATTATAATTTTGATGAAGCTGCATGACTTTTATATTTATTTATTTATTTATTTGAGATAAAGGTGAGATTTACTCTTCATTCAGATCACCTGATGTTAACAGGTATTTGCTTTTCAAAAAGAAAATTTACATTCATGAGTCATTTTTCGTTTTCTTGTGAATATCTTTAAAATATAATAATCAGTTATATTCTGTTGACTGGATAAAACAAATTATTTTATTATCTCTGACAAAATATAGTTACATAAATTTTGCATCTGGATAATCTCAGTAATGGACACTGATATCTTAATAACGTTTTTTGATATCTTAATAACATTACAGTCGGAAAAATCATGTATAAGCATATCTGATTATCATCTCTTAATTTTACATGCTAACACAAGTATATATCTTTAAATCTATAGATAACAACAGTGTTTTTAACTCAACATCTGAACAAGTAAAAAGACTCACTTGCACCCCGTGATATTAAAATAATTTTTTTTTTGAAAATAAACTACTGAAGCATAGATTTATTTTTAAATGTCAATTGACCAAATTTCCTTCTATGCAATCACTAGACCAATCTTGTTTCCGTGTTGTGTAAATAACGTTTTTCTTTGTAATGAACTTCTATTTGTGTGGATATAGTCGTAGAAGTGGTACAGTGTAATGTATGGCTTCGGTTTGTACTTGTATTTAAACTCCCCCATTACTCGTTAAATCTACTAATAATAGGAATCCCAATTAATTCCAAAGGTTGTGAATCTCCATGAAATTAAAAGTTGTATTTTCATTTTTAATATTTTTTTCTTCTGAAACAATGTGTCCGTTCAAAAGTTAGTTTATCTGAAAGAATGTGTCTATTTAATTTTTTTAATACTTCAAATGTTTTGAAACAACGTATCCATTCAGAAGTTAGGTAACTTGAAAGAATGTTTCTATTCAAAATATATATATATATTTTCTGAAAAGATGTATCTATTAAAGGTTGTGTTTTAATTTTTAATATTTCATTTTTTTTAAATAATGTGTCTGTTGAAAAAAGTTAGTATTTGAAAGAATGTGTCTTTTCAAAAAAAATTAATATTTCATTTTTTTGAAACAAATGTGTATATTCAAAAGTTAGTTAATTTGAAAAGATATTTTTATTGTTCACCATCTTTAAAATTAGTGAAAATTTTAGTTTAAGAAAATTGTAGACAGACTATATATATATTCACAAACTTATTGAAAAGTTACAACTTTTCAAATTATAATCAGTTATTTTAATGAATAGTCAAAACTTTCTATTTTATGTAGTTAATTGAATAGTATTCTTATAATATATATATAACTCGGATAGATACATTTTTCCAGAAAATATATATATATATATATATATATATATATATATATATTTTGAATACATATCTTTTCACTAATTTTAAAGATGGTGAACAATAAAAGTTCTGTGAAATTATCTAAATAAAATATGTTAGAAGATATTTAAATGAAATGTTGTCAACTAAAAATAGTAGGAAAAATCATTCATTTTCGTGTTTGGATTGCTTAAAATTCTAGACGAAACAATGAAGTTGTTAGTCTTAATTTTCTTTTACTAGATGAAAATATGTCTTTTTGTACTTATAAATTTTGCATCCGTGATACGTCCTTTGTAATGAACACATTACACATGATTCATGTTTTTCAGACACGAATTTCAGTCTACCGTGAACAAATGAAATATATTATATTTGTTCGACAGAGAGAGCATTTTTTTAAGTTCTCTCAGGGAATAGACAATATCAACTACGAGCCCCAATACCAGAGAAAGTAGTGTATTCTAAGTGAAACCAGATGTCAGGCAAAATCCAAGAATCTGAAAATATGAAATATCTCAAGATCTATGATTCATAGAGAAATAAAATTGATTCATAGAAACTCACTCACGGGATTAGATGATCTAAGTATGAAAAAAACACAAGAAGAAGAAACGAACTTTATAATTCAATGACGAATTGAAAAGAGACGAAAGCTAAATAAGAGAGGGGGAAGACAAAGGACATGATTAAGTCATGAGGAAAAACCATGGAAATTGGAAACTCAGAGGTGTACCTTACGAAGAGACGTGGAAAAATGGTTAGAATGAGTGAAGGAGAGGGCAAGAGATGCAACGGTATCAACTTTTCCCCTTCTCCAGGATGTTCACTCCGCTTGCCTGTAGCCCCTCTCTGCATCCTACATGAGGTTAACATTTTTGACATGTCACAAGTATCACAGCATCTAAAAGTAGCATGACCATTTTTATTTTTATTTTCATTTGAAACCAGCATCACGACTGTTGTTATGAACACATTGGTGGTTTCTTTCTTGTGTTCTTCAGTGGTTTGACTTGTTAAGGGGCACAGGGAAGAAAATCAAATACACTTTTAAACACTCTACTCAAATGCATATAAATACATTAATACAGAGGTTATATTACTTGTATTGTAGTGCAATGGTTTGAAACATTATAAAGATGGATTGTTCAACGTGTTGTATCAAAGGTTGTGTTGATTCCTTCTAAAAGTTGCAATTGTTAAAAAGAAGTTATCAAATTATATATGTGTCTTTTTAACATTATCTCTTAATTGTTTTATTTGAAGAGTTGTGTCTTTTTAATTAATTTAGAAAATAGATAAATATCTCAAAAAATATCTTTCTAAATTTTAAGAGTTGTGATTGTGTTTGTTTAATTCTAAAATTTGTATCAAGAAGTTGTAAAATTATATATATATATATATATATATATATATATATATATATATATATATATATATCTTTTCAATATCATCTCTAAAATGTATTAGTTTTAATAGTTATATCTCTTTAATTAGTTTTAAAATAAGTTAAAATACCAAAAATAAATGTGAAATATTGTATCTTCTCATTTTTAATTAGTTTTTAAAAATGTTTAGGGGTTCATCCATAATGATGTGCTTTTCCTAATAAAATGTATCAAATATAATGATATATTTTCATTTAAAAAAAACAATGATTTATAATAGGTAAACGTATAATATATACTTTATCATCATAAAATGTAGATTTTCATGCTAAAAAGGTGAAATTTTTTATTTAGAGAGATCATGAAAATATTCAAAAATGTTTCTTGGTATTCTGAGAATATTTTTTTATAAGAATCCAATAAATGAGAAAGGTTGTATCTTTTCATTTTTTTAAAAAAAATAATTAACTTAAAAATCTATCTAGGGGTACATGTTTTTATAAATATGTATTTTCATCATAAAAATACAACTTCTCATAATGAAATATTTTTGGTCCTAAAAATAAAATGATCTATAATAAGTTGTAATATATCTTATCATCATAAAAATGTATACTTTCATGCTAAAAAGGAAATTGAAGAGATTGTAAAAATGTGCAAAGATGTTTATTATCATTCTAAGAATGTGTTTTAATTTAATTTTATAAAAATATCAGTAAATTTGAAAATTTGTGTCTTTTCATGTTAAGTATTTCAATAGTCTTAAAAAATATCTAGAGTTGCATCTTCTTATAATAATGTTTTATTTTTTTCATCATAAAAATGCATCTTCTCATAATAAATATTTTTATTCAAAATATGCAATGAAATAAATTTTTTTATGCAATGAAATGATAAATTATAAAAAGTGTAAAAATATGTTTTATTCAGATAAAAATGTATTGTTATGCTACAGATGAAATGGTTTTTGAGATTGTGTAAACGTGTATCATATAATTTAAGTGAACTATTACAATTGTATAGATGAACAATTGCAACTGATTAAATGAACATTGTAACTTTTGATGATGAACCATTGTAACCTTTGATAATGAACAATCGCAATAGGTGGTGATGAACCATTATATTCTTTTGGTGGTTGTGTTATTTAGTGATGAAATATTTGGGTCAATCATTACAATGTTTAGTCTCTTATATAATGAGTTGTAGGTAATAACAAATCTCAACCATAAAAAAACATAAAATCACAATAATCATAGATATAGAAAAAGAGAGATGTATTATTCAAAGATTATCAAAGATATTTGGAGATATACATATAAACATGAAAAAATGCATTAGTGTTCGATATGCTGTTAAAATTGGTAAGAAGTGTGTTTCCATTTTTTTAAAGTTGTATAGATTCTTAAGAAATTATTTTTCGTTCATTTTCATATTTAATTTTATATACCTTTTAAAGAACCTTCATATTATCTAAAACATATTCCACTGATTTTATTTATAGGCTAATTTACGTATTTGTTTTATTTAAATATTTACAAAATTAATCATATCAATAGTAATGTTTCTGAGGTTTCATACTATTTATTTCGGTCGATTAAAACTAAACTCTCATTTAAATTCAAAATATTTGATGTAAACAATTTTTTATTCTATTGCATATATTTGTTATCGAAGTGGTAATCACAATAAAAGTAAAATGATGTTTGTATATCTTCAAAGACTTATCTTTAGAGACCAAAAATTGATCAACTTTTTGATAGTTATATGTCTCTTACACAAAATAGGTATTAAAAACAATTCTATATTATTATTAATAATAAAATTATTGAAATTTTAAATAGTATCTTTTCATCTTCAAACGTGCATAAATTTTGGACAATAATTTTTATAATATATATATATATATATATAATCTAGCTTTTAATAAGATTTAAAGTCTATAATATTATATGTTTGGTGTGGAATTTTTTTTATCTAAGTTGGTTGCATTTATTCGTAATTTAAGAATAAATTACCTAAACTTATAATAAGAGATATATATATGTGTGTGTCATAGTTGGTATTGATATATTTGTATTCTAATTAAAATCTAAACTTCTAAATAAACATGAGTTGTTAGTAGTATCTGTAAATGAATATATATTGTGACAAATAGACATCTTTCAAAATAAAAATAATGCAAGTTTATATAAATTATTAAATTATAAAATGTAATATATTTATTTTTATAAAATGAGTTTCCGTGCGATATCGCACGGGTTCTTTACCTAGTATAATTAATAAGTTAATGAGAATAACAGAATAGTTACATTTGGATTCTCTAATATTTTTGTTCTTTCTGCCTCTTTTGCACTTCAAAATGATGGGGGTCCAATTTGTATATGAACTCCTCGATACGTCATACGGCAGTATAGTTTGAACCGAATCACCAGTTAGATTATAACCAACGTAATCAAATATATTATTTGCAAGTGTTAACTTATACATAGAAAAGGTTATGTTTGGGTGTTTTTTTTTTTTGCTAAAAATGTTTGGGTGTCTAAAATAACTTTATAAGCAATGTCTTTGCAATTTTAGATAACTGTGTACGCATATATGTTTCCCTCCATGTCGAAGGTTACACAGTTAAAGGCGAATGGTTGATTCTTTGTCCAACTAAAAGGACAACTAAAAACAGAGGGAACCAAAAATAAGATACCAAGAAACTTATGGACAAACAAATAATGTCTAAAATAAGTAGAAAAAAGTCTTTCTTTCTCCCCCATCTTTGTTTCTAAGCCTTTTCATTCGATAAAATCTTTCTTTCGTCCCATCTTTGTGTTTCCAAACCTTCTCATTCAACAAAATCTTGAAGAGAGAGGAAAATGGATTCGGGACTATCTTGGGCTGATCAATGGGATTACAACTCTGATCCTCCTCCAAATTCATCTAAAGACGATGATAAGAAGAAGAAAAAGAAGGAAGACGGAAGCAAAACCAGTTTGGGAAAGGCCTTCAAATGGGTGAAGGAACTTCGCAAGAAATCTGATAAGTAATGAATATAGGGTTTATGGTTTTTAGTAATTTGTGTCGAGTGATTAATCCATTAAGCTTTGTAATTCTCTTTTCCATTGTTCTAATTACAATTGCCAAATCTTTTAAAATTTATAAAGTTATGTTGGTTGTGGATATTGCATTCGTTCTTTATCAAACATGATGCTTATCGTCATGAACAATCCAAATTGCATGAGAATTCATCCAATAACAATAAAAATCTCAAAAATCTTAAAAGTGGAATAAAATGAAAATCTTTAAATCCCATTTGGTTATTTGATAAATGTGATAATATAGGAAAATCAATAAAAATGAAAATGTAAAATAATCTAAAAGAGTATGCATCTCTCTAAAAAAATATACAAGAAAATCATCAAAATATTCAATGGCACGTATGGAAAAAAAAATATATTATTTTCTTAGGAAGATGGTGACATCTGAATCAAATGATATTGAAGCCAAAAGAAATGATGGGCGGGTTACAAATTTTTGAAAGCCACAGAAAGAGAAAAGAGAATATGTAAAGATGGTGGATCAAGCCTAAACTAATACTTGATTACCAAAAAAAAGCCTAAACGATACATCTTCGGTCTTTATCAGGTTAATTAGTTATATATATGCATGCATATATATAACTAGATATCGCATAAAATGTCCTTACACGCTCGTAATTAGCTAATCCGCCCAGATACTTTACTTTGACGTGGCATCAGCCCTCTACTTCACCAAATATTCATAAAGTCAATATCATTCATTAACTCTATTTTGTTTTGATCTGCGTAAGACAAGATGGTGTAAGTTTTTTTATAAGATGTACTAAATAATATTTTGTCTCCTTTGAGTAAAGAATCTTGAATTGTTGCGTACCAGAAACTTTTGAATAATGAAGTAATAATAATATGACTGGTCTTTTGTGATGGAGGAATCTTTCACTAATCTCACCAAGAATCTTCATTGAATTGATTTAAGAGGCTTTGTCAGTGGTAACCAGATAGTTCAGAAAAAAATTGTATGTAATAATGGAGATTAAAGTGGAGATCTTATCAAGAGAAGTAATCAAACCATCTTCTCCAACTCCAAATGATAAGAGAATTCTCAATCTCTCCCTTCTTGATATCCTCAGCTCACCCATGTACACAGGTGCACTTCTCTTTTACTCTGCAGATCCTCATAACCCTCTCGGTTCTTCATCAGAAGAAACATCCTTGAAGCTCAAGAAATCTCTGTCTAAAACATTACCATTCTTCTACCCTCTTGCCGGAAGAATCAACGGAAGTTTCATCCAATGTAATGATGAAGGAGCTGTGTTTATAGAAGCTAAAGTAGACCATCTTCTCTCGGAGTTTCTCAAGTGCCCTGTTCCTGGATCACTGGAGCCACTCATTCCTCTTGAAGCTAAATCAAGAGAAGCAGTTACATGGCCTGTGTTGCTAATCCAGGCCAACTTCTTCAGCTGTGGAGGATTAGTTATCACAATATGTGTTTCTCATAAGATCACTGATGCAACATCATTAGCAATGTTCATCAGAGGATGGGCTGAGACAGCAAAAGGTTTGGGGATTACATTGGTTCCTAGTTTCACAGCTTCAACGTTCTTTCCTCCACCTCCTGATGAGCTTCCCTTAAAACCGATGGATCATAAAGTAGAGGTTGAAGAGATGAAATGTGTAACAAAGAGGTTTGTATTCGATACCTTAAAGATCAAGAAACTTAGAGACAAAGCTTCAAGCAGCATTGTCAAGAATCCAACTCGTGTTGAAGTGGTTACAGCTCTTTTCTGGATATGTGCAAATAAGGCTTCTAGATTGATTTCTTCAACAACAAGAACTTCAGTGCTGCTGATACCGGTGAGCATACGAGGGAAGCTAGATTCTTTGCCTGAGAACACAATTGGGAATATGCTTTCCATAATGATCCTCAAGAACCAAGAAGGTATGCTAGATGAGATTCAAGATGTGGTTAATGAGTTAAGGAAAACAAAGGAAATCTTTAGCTTGAACTGCAAGGAAATGTTGAGATCCTCTTCAAGAGTTCTTGAGTCTTTGAAAGAGATTGGGAAAGCATATGGAAGAGGGAACGAGATAGACTTGTGGATGAGTAATAGCTGGTGTAAGCTAGGCATGTATGAGGCTGATTTTGGATGGGGGAAGCCGGTTTGGGTGACCGGAAGAGGTACGTCTAGTTTCAAGAACTTTATGTTGTTGATTGATGCTAAAGATGGAAAAGGAATTGAAGCTTGGATCACTCTTGTGGAAGAACACATGTCACTCTTTGAACAAGATGAAGAGCTTCTTGAATCAGCTTCCTTGAATCCCCAAGTTTTGATCTAATAACACATCATGGTGATTAGATACCATTATGTATATTGTACCTATATAAGTGAACAAGAAACTTGCAAACCTGAACTAGTTCAAAGATTTGGTTTTGGATATTATAGAGATAAGCATGTAGTCTTTAGAGATAAAGATAACTATGGCTTAGTCATTATCTACATATGTATTTCACATTGTGACGTGTATATATACTCGTCTTTGTACGTTAATAAGATCAACACTTTACACCTTATTTCATGGCAACAGAGCAGAATTGATCTTTGACCTAATTATTTTTTCGGTTATCTTATTCTTTCTTCTGCTCACCTTACTACCTTACCCTAATGGTGACTTCGTCAAATTCTTCGTCTATTCTCTTATTCTTTCTTCCGCTCACCTTACTACCTTACCCATATGGCGACTTCATCAAATTCTTCGTCTACTACTACCTCTTCTTTTATGGAGAGATCTTCTGATCCTTATTACTTACACCCATCAGATAATCCAGGATCCCTTATCACACCTGTGTTACTTAAAGGGAATAATTATTCTGAGTGGCTGTTGAGATGTGGAATTCTCTACAAGCTACAAAAAGATAGGTTTTATCAACGGTACTATACAAAAACCGACGACCAATCCTGATCTTGCGCGATGGATGTCTACTAGTTCAATGATCGTTGGGTGGATTCGCACTTCGATCGATCCAAAAGTTCACTCCCCTGTATCCCATGTCGCTGATGCCTCAAAACTGTGGGAATCACTTAAGCAACACTTCTCTATCAAGAACATTGTCCGTAAACATCTTGTGGAAGACGAAATTACTAATTGTAAGCAAAACGGGCAGTCTGTTCTTGAGTACTATGGACAACTCTCTAAGAGCATGTGCATTGGCGTGTATTTCTCCCGTCCCTCGTCTTTTTTTTACAAAATTTAAACGAAAAAGAAAAAAATTACAAGTCCACGTTCCTTATATGGGGACGTATTTCGTCCGTTCTCTTTGATACGTGTCGTCCATTCTCTTTGATAGTGTATTTCTCTTTGTTTTTACTTTTTGATGTTTGTATGTTTTGTGTGTTTTATATTATGTATTAGTTGTATGTTTTTATTTTTCAATTTTTTGTAACTTTGTAATTTTTTTATGTTTTCAATCTTAATTTTATATGTTTTATTTTTATTAAATCTATAATATGTTTTTACTTTTTAATTTAAATAATTAATTTCTAAACTTTCAAAATATTAATATTTTATTCGAGGGACCAAACACAAAGAGACACAAATGCTCATACATAAAATAAGAAACTTTCAAAATAATATTAATTTATTTGAGGGACCAAAAATCAGGGGACACCAATGCCCATGGTCTAAGCTTTGGAAAGAGCAACAAAAATTCAAAACTACTACACCGTGTACGTGTGCTGTGTCTACTGAGCTTGAGAAGGAGCGCGATGCTAAGGTTCCCAAATTTTTGTTTGGACTAGATGGAGTTCGTTTTGGTTCTATTCAGTCTCTAATCATCGACAAAGACCCTTTGCCTGACCTCATCATAGTCAACTTTCGCATCATAAGATCTAAGCAACACCTCACCAAGCGTTCTGATGAGATCAAACAAGACGCAGTTGGTTTCTTAGCCAAAACAGACTCTCCTTCAGCCTTGTCTTCCTATGTTGCTGCAACTATATATCGTAATCGCGATGTTAATCGTTCTTGTACACACTGCAAGCGCGAAGGAAATGAAGCTTCTGAATGCTTTCTCTTACATGGATGTCCGGGATGGTTTCTCGAACAACAACAACGTTCTGCTTGCGAGGTACTTTGGGTCCAAGTAACAGAGGCCGTGTGATAACCTACCCTTCAGGATAAAATGGTCGAGAGAGTAAAAGTTAAAATTCGGAACCAAGCTTTCGGGAGTCTACATATTTGGAGAAATTTTTAGTTTTTATCATATAAAACTTGACATGGATCAAAGAAAATAGAAGATTGGTCGAGCATCTACTTTGTGGTCGAGTCGCGGACGATACAGATCGATCAAAAAATTTTGAAGTGCAAGAAGGTCGAAGAATAGATCGTGAGTGAACCATGAGTCGAAATACGCTGCTCTACCATTGTTAGAAGTGTCCTAGATTGATCAGACGGCCATTTTGTAAGCATCATATTTTTGGAAGCACGAAGGTTTAGAAGCTCGACGTTTTAGAAGCACGACGTTCTTTAACCACGAAGTTTCTCCAAAACTTGGTATCAGCTGAATATATTTCCGAGACATCATAAGTTGGAAGCAGGACGGGAGTTAAGCAGGACGGGAAGTAAGCACGACGGAGAAAACCTGAAATCGGGTGCAAACCCTAATTTCGGTATTATGGAAATTTTCGAGGAAGCCGGAGGCTCGGGAAATATTTTCCATCAAGTTCAGAAATATTTTGGAGTTTATTAAAAATATTCAGCTCATTAGAATGGGAGCGGACAAATATTCAGGAGTGATCGCGGGTCGAGAATTCACTGGAAAGGTCAAAATCATACGAATGAAACCAGGAAGCTCGAAGTGGCTTGATCTAAGAGATCATGAAGTGGTGGTTACTTCCTGTAATGGTATGTGGAAAAGGAAGCACGAGGTATTTCAGTACGAAGGATTGCATCATGCAGAGTGACACACAGAAGCACGAGGTGTTAACGCGCATGCAACCGAAGCATGCAGATCGACATGTGTGAGATGGTGTGTCGCCTTGCATGCATTGTGGGCTCGTGTACAGACATGTGGGAGGAGTGGTGGCACTCTGCATGAGTCATGGCCATGCTGATCGCCATGTGGAGCACAAGGTGTCGCCGTGCATGCGTTCGGAGCCATGCAAAGCGACACACGGGCTGCCACCAATCTGAATCTGATTGGTTGCTATCTTCTATAAATAGGCACATCCAGGCTTTTATTTCTCCTAATCCAGAACACACCAGAGCCACTCCAAAACGTGAGAGAAAGAAGAGAGAGAAAGTTAGGGTTTCGATAGTTTACGAGTTTTTTCGAGAGTTTTAGAGAGTTTTCGAGGCTAGTTCTCTACTGATTTCGAATCAAAGCTTAGGGAAGGTTCTGTCCAACTGATGGTCATTCAAGTGAATATCTTAGAAGCAAGTCAACGTGGATATTGAGATAGAGAAAGGAAGTACCTGAGTTCTGAAGCCGATACTCTACCAAGAAGGCAAGTTCTGTCCAATTGACGATTCTCGAAGACTGTTACACGAAAGCTCTGCCCAAATCAATCTGTCCAAGCCAGTCATATTCTTTGATGATCAAGTGGAGGTTCTGTCCAAGTTAAGACTAGTCTAGTATAGTTCATTCAAGATGTCAAGGTTGGGTTTTGGCCAAGTTCTCTCCAATCAATCAGCTGTTTCTCGCCTAGAACACTGTGAGTTGGTTTCGTTTGAGTTTCGTTTGGAACTTAGATTAGTTTTGTGAGTTGGCTTTTTTGAGTTTCACTTAGAACTTAAGTTAGATTGAGTTTTCATATAGAGTAGAATTCTCACGTTATTGCATGATAGAATCCTTAGGGTTATTTTTATTTATTAAAACCGGACTCTGTTTATCACGGGCTAAGCTGAGATTAATTGGAATTAAGATTGAGTTAATAACCTGACTAAGACTAGGACTAGGGCTAGGATGCATCATGTTTTCTATTCTTGTGTGTTGATATGGTTGAGTGCAGGTTTCTGTTATCTTTAAGGATAGTTTCATAGCATGAGGCGAAACTATCTTGGTAACGGTTTGATTGAGTAATTGCTTGTTTATATAATGCTTGTTGATTGAGGTTAGTGAGCTCTTGGTAAGAGAGTGATCAACCGGTTGAGTTGTTAATTGTTAAGTATTGTTGTTTACTTGTTTATATGTTAGTACTAAGTTTCTTAGGCCATATAGGCCGGACTACTGGTACTATTGATTAGTGTTGAGTCTAGATAGTATTGCTAGGTTGTGGATAGTTAGGTTCTGGAATCTATGTCCTCAGGCTAGGTTCTGGAATAAGGTTGTGTTAATGTGTTGCCGTTAGCATGTTTGAAATCCATACATGCTAGGCATATTTAGGGGTGATTAGTGTTTCCTCAGCTTAGTATCCAGCGGGTTCAAGGAAACCCCTTATTTGATGGATCCGGAAGACTCAGAGGAACGAGGTCATGGCTTATGGCTGAGTGATTACACGAAGGTGTAATGTGGTAGTGGCCCGATGGACTGTTGGCTGTCGCGTGGTGACCAGATGGACAGTGGGCCGCAGTCGGTTGAAAGTTCCTTCTTCTTGCCTTTATAGTAGGGAGTTAGGATGTTGCACATGTTGAGGAGGAACATGAAGTCACCAGATCCCAGGTTAGAGTGTCGAGTTATAGTGTTGTGTTGAGTATAGGGTTATGGTCCTTAGGGTAAGTGTAACACTGATATATGGTGTTACGAGTTAAATCGAGTCGTAGTTAGTTATTTTCTTATTATTATGATATTAGTAATTGGTTTTGTTTTGTAGGTTTCTAACACTGAGATCTAATTCTAGGTTTGGTACCGCATTAGACTTGGTGTCTCCTTGGTTAGTATAAACCCAAAGTTGATTCTTATATTGTTTGAGCGATTGCTTATGAAGGGTGGTGGATATTGAAGCTATGTGGTATCATTGATTGGCTGATCATGTTCATGTCTGATTGTTGATCGACTAGTTGATGATACTTATATAGTATAAGTGTCTAACACTACATGAGTACTGAAATCAGGCGTATATATGGTTAACTAGGAATTGATTGTGTAGCCTTAGCTTTGTTTATGTGCTTAGTCTAGATTGATTGTTATTTTGGGTTGGTTGGGTTAGTTATTAGGTTGTGGGTCGCCAACTCACTGAGTGACAATAGGTTACTCATCAAAATTCGTTGTCCTTTTTATAGGTATCTTTAGATATGGATGATCGGGATAGCATGGAGCTGGACATTAGGATCACCGGAGTATATTTGCATACCTTTTATATATAGTATTTTGATTTGTGTTTAGTTGACTTGATTTGGCGTTAGTCCAGAACCGGTCTTGAATTATTTTATTGTATGGATATTTCTTGAATCAATAATGTATTTGTCTTATATGCACATCATGAGTACTCTGATATTTGACTAGTCCGGTCTAACACGATGTTAGGTCATTGTACGGGTTGAAAAGACTTAGGCTTCGATCTAATGTAAACTCTTGGTACGGGTTACAAAGCCTTTTGCCTTAATTTAGCAGGACGGGTTAGT